CCTGCCCGGGCTGGCTTTGAACCGTGATCCTCAGATCTCAGCCTCCTGAGTAGCTAGGATTACAGGCGTGAGCCACCAGCGCCCGGCTTATTCTAACCTTTTTATAGCTGAGGCAAATAGGTAACTTGCCTGAAGGTTTCACAGATAAAACTGGAACTAAATCGCTATTCTGCATCCAGTCCACTTTCTGCTACATAATCATAAAAGAAAAACTTGGAAATCAAGAGTTGAAACTAACTTTAATTAACTTGAAACATGTTTCTTGTGGGGGAAAAAAAATCATTGTAACTTCGGCATATGTTAGGAGGTATAATGGATAAGTTGGGAATGTGGCTTAGTGGTAGAGTGCTTGCCTAGCATGCATGAAGCCCTGGGTTCGATTTCTCAGTACTACACACACAGAAAAAGCCAAAAGTGGTGCTGTGGTTCCGGTGGTAGAGTGCTAGCCTTGAGTAAAAGAAGCTTAGGGGGGCTGGGAAGGTGGCTCAACGGTAGAGTGCTTTGCATGCATGAGGCCCTAGGTTCCATTCTCAGCACCACATAAGCAGAAAAAGCCAGATGTGGCGCTATGGCTCAAGTGGTAGAACATTAGCCTTGAGCTGAAGAGCTGAGAGACAGTGTCCAGGCCCCATGTCCGACCAAAAAATAAATTAAGTTAAAAAACAATCAGGGATTGTAATAGCTTCCTTAGTTTCTTCACTGTGGGTTTTTTGTTTGTTTTTGTATGTGTGTGCTAGTACTGGAGCTGGAACTCAGGGCCTGGGTCATTATCCCTTAGCTTTTTCCACTCAGAGCTGGTGCCCTGTCAGTTGAGCCACATCCCTACTTACAGTATTTTTGCTGGTTAGTTCAAGATAAGATTCGACTGGCTTCCAACTGCAATAATCAGATCTCAGCCTCCTGAGTAGCTAGGATCTCAGGCACTGGAGCTTGGTGTTCACTGAGGTTTAATTGGAAGCAAAAGAATGGATTTTAGCATCATGTTCAGGGGAGGAGAGAAGTATTGTCGGGACAGCACAGCATAATGTGAAGGGAGGCCGAAAAACTGTCATGTCAGTGAGTGGGAAGGACTCGCATGCAGGAAGCAGCAGATATATGGTGTTCTCAGAGCCACCTGACTTTGGGATGGCAATATGGGGACAAGGGTGAACAGGGCAGCAGCAAGAGGGTAGAACTCGGAGTAATGCCACAATTTTAGTGACAAACTGCATACATCGAAATTATGTACATGGGTTTAGGTTTCACAAACTACTATCTCTGGGACAACTTCTGCTTGAATTTGAGTTTCTTTCATTTTAATAGCGATGATAAGAATATCTGCATTGTAGCACTGGGTACATTAAATGAGATAATGAATTACTGAGCACAGGTCTTGGCACATAAACCACAAAGATGCTAATTATAATTACAATAATTATTTTGTCACATGTTTATTAATAGTAATAGGACTAAGGAGCAGCCAGAAAGTTAGGATGAAGACTAGGAGAGTATTATCCCAGATCAGAGGAAGACAGAAGTTAAGAAAGAAAATACATAGCACACAGACACCCTATATGGAATTCCTCTATCTTTCTTACTTAGGAACACTCTGGTCCCTGAAGTACATCTCTTAACTTTCAGGAAAATAAGATCTAACCTGTTTTGTTTTTCCTTTTGTTTTTGTGTTTGGCAATATTGGGCCTCAGACTTGTTAGGCAGATGCTCTATCACTGAGAACACCTACAACCCTGTGTGTATGTGTGTGTGTGTGTGTGTGTGTGTGTGTGTGTAAAATTTTCTTTTGGGGGCTGGGAAGGTGGCTCAGCAGTAGAGTACTTGCCTCACATACATGAGGCCCTGGGTTCGATTCCTCAGCAACACATAGAAAAGGTGGGAAGTGGTGCTGTGGCTCACGTGGTAGAGTGCTGGCCTTAAGCTGAAGAGCTCAGGGACAGCGACCAAGCCTAGAATTCAAGCCCCACAACCAACCAAAAAAATTTTTTTTCTTTTTCTTTTTTTTGGCCGGGCGTGGGGCCTGAACTCTGGGCCTGGGCGCTGCCCCTGCGCTCTTCAGCTCAAGGCAAGTGCTCTACCGCTCCACAGCACCACTTCCAGTTTTCTAATGGTTTATTGGAGATAAGAGTTTCACAGACTTTCCTACCTGGGCTGGCTTTGAACTTCGGTCCTCAGATCTCAACCTCCTGAGTATCTAGGATTACAGGCATGAGCCACAGGCACCCGGCGTTTTTTTTCTTTTTGGTGCCGGTGGCTGGGGCTTGAACTCAGGGCCTTAGTGCTGTCACTGAGCTGCTCAAGGCTCAAGGCTAATGCTCTACTACTTGAACCCACAGCTCCACTTCCAACTTCTTTGCTGTTTGTCTATTTTTTTTGGGGGGGGGGGGGTCCAGTCGTGAGGCCTGAACTCTGGGCCTGGGCGCTGTCCCTCAGCTCTTCAGCTCAAGGCTAGCACTCTACCACTTGAGCCACAGCACCTGTTTGTCTATTTTTAACACTTTATTTTCCCACAAATCCTCATTTCTCTATCAGAGGAATGTTTGCTCCAACCTAACAATTCTGTGCCCTACTTCTACCAATACTTTCCCATCTGCATAACTGTGTCTACTAGTCTCCTGCTTGGAAAACAAGGATACTTTATGAATGCTACTTTAAACCACTGATATGCAGTCAATGATAGTGATTTGCTTTGTATGGCATCGTATGTTACTTGACTCTATAGGACCCAGGGAACGGC